CAGGGCAAGCATGGATGAGGATATTTTCTGAGGAATGGGTTAACTTTTACTGCTGGTTCGTGTAAACATCAGTCTTAACGCATCTCCGATAATAGGAGACCACTGTTAATGGTTGGTCAGACTCCTTCACATGATGCACATTGCATTTGTACTCGCGTCACACCATGAGTTTTGAGGTGCTGCCTCAGCTGGCATCTAAAGCTATTTACAAAGTGACAAAAGGAAGAGGAAAATGGTCCCTGGTAGTTGATCGTAGTTATGACTCGCTGCAACGCATTGTCAAAAGACTATGAGCCAACAATTCCGTCGAGGTCGTTCCTTTGGGGAAGGGGAGATGAATAGTAACGTATTCACCGCATTGTGGGTGTCTGATGTGCAATTTCAGCATTCTGTGTCAAACCTCTCCAAAGAGAGGGTCTTCAATGAATAATCCAGTTTGCACGGTCCGAAATATTGCCTTGCGATTGAAAATGTGTATTTTCCCCAAAACAGACCAAGTTGTAGACCTCTTGAATATAAACAAAAGGTTCGTGTTTTGAAAGTGAACATTCTTCGCCGGGTTCTAATAATTTGGAATAAGATTAGAGAGAGTTACCTATGCATTTGGAGGTAGCTTGGTGCGAGGCTTGCTCCAATGCCTGTAATTTAGCCAATAGCTGGCTCGCCGCCAAAGTTGAAGGGTTCCAATCGTAGGAGTAGAGTTAGACTAAGCCGCTTATTGGCTCACCTGCTGGCGGCACGTGCGCTTTGAAATCTAAAAATTCGAGGAGAATCTGACTCAGAGAGAAGTGGTCGGGAGAAGTAAGCCGAGGGCGGAACTATTCCTGAAGGCTGCTTGCTGTTTCTTCCAGAGTAGATAGCACTTGCGACGTCGAAGCAAGTGCTGCACACCGCGGCCTCCGGCGGTAATCTCAGTAGTGCTAACAGGAACAAATTTTAGCGAACTTCCTCTAAAAAATATGGTTTTTGACAATCGGGAATGTCAAATCTTAGCGGCTGCTGAAACTCTCTTTCAATTTTCCTGGTATTCTGCTATAAATTGGGTTTGGAATTAGGAATAGTGGCGGGAGCAAATCAGGGCTGGACTGCACAGGCTACTATGCTACAAGGTTCAACATGATGCTCTGGTACGTCACAGACAGGAGGACAACGCACAAAATATTCTTTAATCAACAAGACTGCTGCTGACAATATTACTTGCTTCCAATGACACGCAGATTCGAGAAAAACGCGGATGTGTTAGCTTACGCTATTTCGTACAGCAGCTGTCATCTTTCGTGTTGCCAACTATTTTGAAAAGAATTTTTTTCGACGATCCTTTAAGCCATCTGCACAGAACTTAGGAAAGCTGTAAGTCGAAGGTGAAGGAGATGCTCACAAACGCAAATATTTGCCAAGACAGACCTTCGAAATGCTCACTTGAGCCTCCCTTCAATGGAACCGGGTATTCATGGCCCCTCTGAAATTCAACGCAATGATGCGTACTTACTGAAATTCGGCTCGCTTGCAACAAACCGTCGTTTTCACTTGTTGTGCACATTGTATTGTTGATTTGATTTTATCTGGAACCGCTGAAAAGCAGACAACTGCTACTATCGACTATAGCAATATACCAGGTCTGGCATTGCGAAAGGCACCCTACCTGGAGAAGATTAGAACCTAACTTTCGACTAAGAATATGACGCTCAGTCGATTGAGCTACTTGGCTTAACAACAGGAAAGCGATATCCGAAAGTAGCGCTACAGTGGACCACTACAAAAATTTAGGTCGAAAATATTCGAGAGCGTTTGCAGAGCAAGTGCACAGAATCAAGCTGTTACTTTAAATGATAACTAAGCTGCCTGAGGAAACTGTCGTGCCTTTCTACAGTTGTAGCGGTTTTCAGAAAAAAACAACCTTAATTTTCGATTTAATTTTCACAGCAATTTTTTCAGAGGCATTCGCCGCAAGTTACCCTGCAGGGATGTACCGAAAAACCGGTCTAAAGTCCAACTCACAACGAAAAACAGTTACACCCTATAAGACGTACAGTACATAACAATTTTGCCAACACGGTCCCACTGACATTTCAGTATCTCGCTGACGTATACAATTCTGACAAAATACTTAAAAAAAACTCACCTTCATTCTGTACTTATCTGGCTGTATGTAATACAGAGCATATAGAAGATATATGCCGCCGATCCTGCAGGGAATGCTGTAAGGCGAAAAGCAGTAGTTCAACGCCAATGCTAATAGTTTTTCTTCGAACTAAACAAAAACAGATATGAACGGTGAAGTGCAAACGAACACGACAATAAAATAGTTTATAATCCCTCTCGCAATAGAACCGACATCTACAAATAGCCACGTTGCTTCCAAAGTGTGTTTTGAAAGTGAAGGGTTTCTACGCTACGAAAATTTCTGGACCATTTTCATCAAACCCAAGCAAGCGGCAGTTTCTGAGTTTTAAAGACATTTTTCTCAAGACAGTGGTAGTCAGAGCCAAACGGTTTGCAACCTAGTGGTATTTCTGCACTTTGAACATGCTTCGCAGGTAGCACTGCTGGAAGCTGTTAAACCCAAATTCGTAAAGTTGCGGAAAGCAGATGTTCGCAGACTGTAAAACAGCACCGAGAATACGGTTGCAGTCCAGATAGTTATCTTCTTCTCTGCTATTCAGATAATCCGATTTCTACAAAACTTCAGGCACCGACCAAAAACTCGCTATTTAATACGATCATCACTTAAGTACAAACGCTGTCATCATTCGCCACGACTGTTCCAAGACATTTAAAACAGGTTGTCCTCCTTCATCGCTAGCATCCTCTGGCTGTCAGGATTTTCTCGATCAGTGAGTTCGTTAATAATGACAGTAAAGAATACATTCAGCTGTTTAAAGTGAAATTCTCTTTTTATGTGCTTCATCCTTTGTCTAGCTCTGTACGAACAGAAGATTCGTCTGATCAACAACAGTTCAAGAATCAATGGTTCAATCAAAAGAACAAAGTTCTATGGTCGCTTTCTAGCGCAGAACAAAAGATCCAAGTGAATAACAAAACGGTCGGATGACAGCTATTTATAGACGATTTGTTCAGCATCTCATGCATCCAATTCGCTCTGCTGCAGCACCAAGGTACAACTGACTCATTTAAAAGGAACGGATAAATTCAGAATCAGTGGCGCAGGGACTATTACCAGTCGTATACGTCACTGGAAACAGAGACCAACTACCTTGACGACACAACAAACTGGCTCATTAACTGCTACCCGTTCTTGTAAAGAATTCGATGACTGCGAACCGTAAACTTTAATATAACGTTTTAATTATCAAGCTTATCAAAACAAAGGGCGTCTACCAACTCACCTGATCACAAGACCTACATCACCTTGCCATACGTTCGCAAACTGA